AAAGCAAAAGCAAACGGCTATTTGTATAACACAGCGGTAAGTTTAATGTTTGTTTTCCGCTAGATGTTTACTATATTTATTACTGTAATGCTTGTTATAGAATCGTATTGGGAAATAATTATTATGGCTTTAGCGTACGTTGCCACAGGTTCAGGTAGTACGATCAACGATATTTAGTCACTATCGCCAGACACGTAAATATTACATCCCGGTAAAAGGTATGGAGGAAGACTTGATGATATTGCTTAAACTTCGACAAAATGAGCTAAGCTTGAATTTTGAAAATGTCAAATACCTGCTTACGACTCAGGTTAGAAGGTTGGAAATTGCAATTATATCATAACAAAATCGCGCATCCATGCGCCAGATTGGGCCACCGTTCAGCCATTCTACTCCGAATATATTCTAGTTCTGACGTCTGATTAATCCGGACACATAATTCCAACAATGACAGTCTAGAGCACCACAACACTTCGAACGCACTTTTGGATTTTCTAATTGGTATAGTATAGCAAAATGTTCAACAGTTTCTAAAAGTGTCTTTAAGTTTTGCAACAAACGTCCGTAATTATAGTTAAAAACTGCTTTACATTACTGTTAGAACATACTATTTTATGTTATTGTTAACTTACTTGATTATATTTTTCTGTTGTGAATTTTATTGTTTTCTGTTGGTTCTCTTTTGAATAATATTATGCAGCAACCGTTAATGTCATTTCAGCTACGTATTGCACAATTACGCAATTAAATAGTTTTTCTCTGTTTTAAATTAGCGGTTTTGAAATAGAACTTGATTTAAATGCCTATGGTACGGCTCAATGGTGCGTATCTAGAAATATATTTCGAAAAGGTGTAACCACATCAATCATTGTCAAAGCAAGCCACGGTGTTCCAGGGCATTGAAGTAATACAGGTTTATATAAATTATTTATTATATCGATTGTATCGTAAATTAATTACTACTTAGAAATAGGAAATATTTTTCGTCCTGCGTATATCATCTTTATTTGATTTCCGGTAAGTTTGTGAATATAATGGTGTGTTCTGCCGAAAAGCGTTAAACATCCGCTTAAGATGTAAAATGTAAAAAACTCTCTAAACAGGCAAGAAGATAAAGTCCAGGATAAGAGATTCGAGTTTTAACTATTGTAATCTTTGTCTTTGGTTATTAACCTATATTAATAAAAATTCATTTAAATGTTTTTGTTTATTTATTATCGCCTTATTCAGATAACCCGCCGACATTAAACTGTATGTACATAAAATTACGGAACAAAGTTTAAAAGTTCTTGTTTATTCTCGATTGTGGTTAATATCAGTCGTATTAATTGTTATCAACGAGATAATTTTTTTAGTTGTTTATAATAAAGACTCCGAACAGATTGTTTCTCGTATTGACAACTGGATGTACAGGACACAATATTTTGTTATCAGTGCATCCGGATTACGCTAGAAATTTCATTGATTAAGTATAAATTATTAGTGATATTCTTATTTTAAGATTTACTTTTAAACAAAATTGTAAATGCTCTTGAAATTGTATTCAATCCTCTTCGATAAGTTTCAAGAACCCAGTTACCCGTGATTCACATCCTTGAAGAAAATTTTATCGTTGATAGAAATAATACGAGTTAAAATTCAAATTAATACCCCACTTGGGTTAATGACCCTTAGATTATAATGATTAAATTTTAAAAAAATAGCAGTGAGCAGTGTTTTTTCCCTAGTAAATGGATCCTGGACTCTTTTACTTTTTTTTTAGTGATATGTAGATGTCAATGTCTAGAATAGCAACACAAAAAGCTTATGAGCGAAATAATTGTCTAAGAATCAAAAAAATAAATAACAGTAACATTCCGAGAACGCAACAAACGTATGTATATATAAAAGAGTTTCGACGACAGTCGCTCTTAAAATTGCATGCAAATAATACTCTATGGAATAAATTATGTAAATGTTAACAATGTGGCACTCAAAACGTTATTGAAATCTTTACAACGTTTAAATAAAACAACACCGTGCGATATGTTTTTTTCAGTACGTGTCAAAACAAGAATCGGAGATCACCTTGACGACCTGTGTTTTAATATTTGTGTCACTTTAATATGTGTGTACAAATATGAATATTATTCAACACTATCGAAGCATGAAATTTTTTATCGCTCTGACCTATTTTTCTCCAGGTATAAAACTAACTCGCATTTACTGTCACGGTCAAGGAAATCAAATCTAAATATTAAAAATAGTATATCCTGCAACAAGTGTGGTAAACGGCATTTGAGTCACGAGTTTTTTTGGCACGAGAGGAGCGCAACGAAGCGAATAGTATAAACGAGTGATTTAAAAAGTTTACTCCCTTCTGTAAAATAAATAATTTTACATGGGTCTAGCGTGCGGAAAGTGTCATTTAACCACGTTAGTTTCGTTCTTTCCTGTATACGTAAGAACTAAACCTGGTAAAACAAACTCTTTGAAAAATATGAATCAACCCATGTGCTTTAAACTTGCAAACGCTTGACAATTGTACAATATGCTTTTAGTTATTCTCAAAATTTTTATGAAAAATGTCAAGCAAATTCTCCGGACCCTAATATTTTCGATATTGTATACACAAAAAGGTTCAAATTCACGATAGACATAATGAAGTGTGATGGAATTAATTGGCTAGCCAAAATGAGATTGTAATTTTTTCGTTGCCAATAATTGGTATCGAGAAGCACGAAGCACATTTTGTGTGAATACGTATTACATGTGCTAGCTGATTTGTGTAAACCTGTTTTGCATTTTTAATTGCAAACGTGGAACATTGGCCTTTCTCGGAAAATCCGGCGCTTGCATTGACTGAACGTGAATATATACACGGAATGATAATGAAAAAAACTCCGATGCCTGCGTGGGGGTAGCGATTTGCACAACGAGTTTGATGTGTAAAATATAATATACGATGTGTATTTTGCATTTTTAGCTTAATAGATAATCTTGGCGGAATTTGGAACAGTAATTCTAGCATTTTTTCTGACGAAAAGGGACTTAGGCAACTAGGATATGATGCGATTAGGTGATAAAATAGTGGTTCACACTATTTTATCACCAAAATAGTGATACACACCAGATGAAACTATTATTCCTTTTCTCCTTTTGTTACTATATATTTGTACTTGGCAAACCTAGAGTCGATTCTAAGCAAATTAATTGTTAAGCTATGCCGGTGCTTTGCCTTAAGATTTGATGATTACCCAGGTTGCTCTAATCATGTCTAATTTGATAACTTTATTTCTTTTTTGCGCAGTCACAGCAATTTGTTGTTTGGCAATTGCTTTCTTCCATTTTGTGTAAAATTTTATTTTATAATTTATATTCACAATATGGGAGTAAGAAATTTATTGCATTCAATGCGTCCATACGATGCGATACCTTTGCTACAATTTGTGGTCTATGAAGATCGGTTATTTTTGTCAGGTAAAATATAATGTGCCAGAGAAAAAAATGGTGTAGTAAAACGGCACAAGAGACATAACTTACTTATTCTTTACTTAATTGTGTTACATATCCGTTACTTCCATCTAACCATAAAAGGAAAAATCGATTTTCTCTTAAGTAAGTACGTAAGATATTTCGGAATTATTTGGACTAAAATATTTGCTCTATTACGGTTAACCTGGGTTCCAGATTTTTTTTCCATAGCTCCTCAAATAATGTGGTATAGGAGAGAGGTAAATATTAATTTAAAAAAATCGCGTTATTAGGATTTTTTCCAGTTTTTGTCATTTGAAAGGGGTTTTTGTTTTCCCTCAGCTGCCAATATGAATTCTGAAGTTTTATTAAATCTGTTAAAGTGTGTACTATAGAGTCGATTTTTTTCAAAATTTCCACGTAATAATGGACACCCTGTATTGTTAGCAATAGGTTTTATTTGTAAATCTGGAGTATTGTATCTTTGTTATTTAGAAAATAACTAATATTGCCAACAAGTGATCTAATGTGGGAAGTTCAACAAGAAATTATACGGGTGTTATCTTAAACCTCAAATATCTCAAAAAGTAAGAAAATTTTAAAAATAAGATACCTTAACTTATTTTTCAATTTTCGTTGCAATGCCTGGAGTAACGTCACAACACAATTTTATATGGGGCAATCAAAATATGAAAAAAAAACACAACTTCAATTTCTGCCAGAACTATGCAAAATTCGCAGAAAGTTACCTTTATTTTAACCAAGGATTCCAAAAATGTCGAAATTTACAGGGTGTTCCAGTTAAAATAACAAAGTTGATGTCGGAGGGGACACTTTTGGGACAGCCTGTATAAAGAAAATTATAATATTTTAAATCTTCAGGAGAGTCCAGGAAACTTTTGTACTAAACTTTTTTTCGTATCTCCTGCATTTTTATCCATAAATAACAATATAACTCTCTCTAAATTATCACAAACGTCACTTTAAAAATTGTTCTGTTTGAACGATAATAAATGCAAACTTGGTAACATGTTTTTTCACAGGAACAATATCGGAACCCCTATCTAATCAGTCGTAGTCATAGTAAAATTAACCCACGTGGTGAATGATCGATCCATTGTCAGAAACGACGCAAGTTTTTTTTCCCGTTTGGTCGGTGTTTACATCGTAGCTCGTTGCCTAGAAATTCCGTTCGTAGATTGAGTTTTATAGTTATCGATCGGGAATAGAGTTTCCTAAAACGGAGAACCTTATTGCCTCGTTTTACTAGGAACTCGCGGCAGTACGATTTTATCTATCATTATTGTGTAATGTGATCCGCTAGCGTTTTACAAGCGAAACTATAAATTGCTGGATTATTTCGTTTGGCGAACGGGACAGGGTTCATCCTTCCTCTGTTTTCTTGTATGGGCGAGTAGTATTTCATTTTGTTGGCGATGTAGGGTCTTTATTGGTTTGCATTTTACCGCGATGCTCATAACGTTTCTGTCTCTCTGTATACATATTACGTAAGCGAGGATTGTGTTCTAAGCTTTTTTTTATTCCAGGCTGTTAAATTAGAAAGCGTCCATCCTACGAGGACGCGGTACCTAGTGGTCGTCTCCAGAATGGGCGGACGGGGCGAAGAGTGCTGTTTACTGGGCATTGATTGCAATGAGAGGACTACGGTGGGGTTGGTGCTTCGGGTATTAGCCAACACAACTATAACGTTGGACGGAGACGGGTAAGATATATTTTTGATGATATTATTAATTCCCTTGGTTTGAAGCCTCTACAGGCATTCTATACGATAATCGCCAATCATTATTATTATTTGATAAAGCGAGTATGTTATTATGTTACCGTCCTTAAAAGTTTATCTCTATTCAAAAAAGCTGTTATATGAATGTGCTATTATATGTTCTTACTGTTTCGTCAGACCTAAGCAATATGAGTGAAACAAAGATCCCAAATTCTCATCATCATAAAGGCACGAAAATCAAGGTTGTGTGTGCTGAAGCCTTGAAATCGATAATGCCACGCTGTTCCGCAAACTTTGCTGCTTGTAGTTTTATGATAGGTCCAGAGTGGTACATTTTCAAGACGTTGCTCTTGGAACGACTGCAAAATTGCACGATTCAAATCTTAGTTTTTTACTAGAACTGCCTGCCGCTTCAGCCTGAATGATTTTTTCTTTGCACTTCCAAATCGTGGATACAGTCGACGGTGTAAATTCGTATCGACGTCCCCGTTCTATCTCCCGAATTAAAGCAACTTTATCATCTAGAGATGAAATTTTTCGCTTACTCGCCATGCTCGCCGTATTCACTAAGTCAAATTAGAACTGATTGAAACAATGGATAAAGGCATAAACATAGTCGCTTACTACGAGAAAAACACTTAGGCCGACCAGGTTCCTCGGTAATTAGATTATTAGGGTAAGGAATTCTGAGAATGTAAGAGACTCTATTAATTACAAGTCGGCCTACATTCATTACTTTGTTACGTCATGTGCCCTTTTTTCTTTCGGTATAGAGAGTGAGAAATTCATTATACAGAGTGGATTAATACATAGCTTTGTATGGAGACCTAATAGTACAACAAATTTTGTTCGTAATACAGAGTTTTACTTTATACAGAGTTTGGGAGTTTTCACTCATTATACTCGGAAGTGTATCATTGACTTTCTACGAACACGTAAATAATTACTTGTATGCCAACGAAGAAGTAAAAGAACCATTGTGAATTTGTTCGTATATACATAGTTAAAAGATTAATTATTTGGTATTTATAGGAACCTACTTAAATCGTGTTGATAATATTTTTGTTATTCGCATTAGCGTAAATCTAATTAAACTCACTCAAACGCAAAATTAGTGTTGACCGCTCTTTCTTGCGCTTTGTAGTATTTGGAGTATTTCTTTTGAACATTTTGCGACATTTTGATTTGCATTGCAATGATAACAAAAACGGAAGCTGATGAAAACTAACCAATTTATCCTTTCCGCTGACTGTTAACAAACCCGAACCATTCGCCTTTCAATCTACGATATTTTTTCTGGTTAGTTATTTTTACTCACCATCCGAAGAAAAGTCTTTTCAACGTGTCGTGGTTAAATGTTCATATACATAACGCGTTGTGAACAAGAAAATCGGGCAGTGGACAATTTCCACTATTAATTTTAAATAATATAAAATTCAATTGTAGTACGTCCTGGAGATCATCGTCATCTTTCTTGTTTTTGTGTTAGTACTGGTTTTTCTCCTCCCTGTGTAATTAGGTATTTTACAGGCGGGAGTAGAAAATAATTTATTATGCAACAAGTGTGGAAACGGCATTTTACTCACGAGTTTATTTGACACGAGCGAGTTTTTAATAAACGAGTGAGTTAAAAAGTTTACCGAACGTGTTGCATACTATACTTTTTCTAGGACCGTTAGTTTTTGGGTACATTTTCGTAAAACAATACGAATACATTCACTGACATGATCGGCAGAATTGGCAAACGTCAAAATTCAAAACGTGGGAAATATCTCTGAAAACATCCCATTGCTCCCAAACCCGTGCGGTAAAATCCCGGAAATGTCCGAAGTGGCTCGTATCCCTGGGATACGAAATTGACGTGATTAAGTGACGCTTCCGGCACGCAAGATCAGTGTGTAATTAGGCATTTTACAGACGGGAGTAAGAAATAGTATATTATGCAACAAGTATGGTAAACGGTATTTGACTCAAGAGTTTATTTGGCATGAGCGGAGCGCAGCGCAGCAAGTGACACCCACTTAGTAAGCACTGCGTCCGCTCGTGCCATATAAACCCGTGACACAATTGCTGTTTGCCACACTCGTTGCATGATATACTATTTTATAGCTGATTTGGTAGGACCAGACTCCGCATTCGTTTAAATGTTTCGTTTAAATGTAACGAAACAATGATCGCTTAGAGCATTGTTGTTAGTCCACTCACATAGGTTTGTTGGTCTAATACTTTTCTGCTACTACTGATACTGTTCTACGCATGTGTCCAGACATCTACCAGTCTGGTCAATATTGACAAGCGTCATAATCAAAGCATGAAAAGAGTTAAATTTTTTGTAAGGGATTTAGTTCACACCGGGTATTGCCTGATTTAATCACAATAAAAAGTTTATATTAAAGCTAGGTGATACCCTTCAGAAATTTTTTGAAAATGTCCTATCGCAGCTTATTTGTAATTGGTGCTTATAAGACTCCATCTCCATCTTCACCTTATTCCAATTTTTAGACAGTCACAGCAACATCGTTACATTACATAAAACAGTGTTTCTTATAGAAATTTTCATAACCGATTTGGAGGAAGGGACGTTTGGAATTGAATAACTTTAGTTAATACCATATTTACTTTTCGCTGGCTCTCAATTTATATACTTAACATTCAATTATTAATAATTAATATTCAAATCAAATCAAATGTATTGTTGATTCGCCCGCTTTTACAAAACTTCCGTAATGAACCGTAAAATTATCTTTTGTTTAAAAAATTTAAATAGTTAATCCTTTATTGTCCAATATGCATCTAAATTATGATTTGTGCAATAATATATCTGTGTTTGGCGTTGGCTAAGTATTGTACGTATTCAATTAAACATTATCTAGTGGTATGCAGGCACTATATAACTGCAACGATGTTACGCACGTAAAAATCGAAAGTTATTGACTCCGTAAAGCGATTATATTTTAATGAGCTTCGCTTGCGTTTTTTTTTCAAATTCCTTTCTGTATAATTACCCCTTTTTGCTTGGAAGAGGTCATAAACGCGGACCGAGCAACTTTTACCGTAAATCGTCTGTTTAATCCGCGATTAAGTAAATATTTCACGGGGCAATCAGTAGCCGCCTCGCATATAATTATTTTAAGCCGGGTCTAATTGGTAATTACCGTGGTCCGATTACGATTACCGAGTGATTTAGGCCGAATTGCAAAATATTGGTTGAAATCGAAATGATTAATATTCGTGCGGGGGTGATTTCGCCGAATGCCAGTCCAAATTATGTAAATAAAACTCACCATCAAATTTTGAAATAATTTGGCGAAACGTATTTTCATTATCCACTTGTAAAAGCATAATTTGAAGCTTACTATTTGAAAGACAAATTTTAATCCATCTATATTTGAGAATTATTTTCTGGAATACAGTGACCACTTTGGAAAGACCCTAGGTCATTTGGAAGATGTGTTGTATCCACATATGAGTGTTATTACGTCGATGCTGTTTACGGGCCATGTTTAGACCAGGAAGACTTGAACATAATTCAGAGAAACTCATAAACTTAAAACTTCTAACTAGTTATTTATGGAAAAAATGCCGCCGCTTCATGCAGTATGTTCTTGCAATAAAATTATTAGGAATGAACGTTGACCGTACCTGCATCTAAGAATTTCTTAGAGGATGATGTACAGAATTTAAATATAAAATTTAGAGATTTATTTCCGCTCTTCGCCATAAGATGAAATAGTTTGGAAGATCATTATACTGCAACATATATAAATATTTAATCCTTTACTTAATACCTATGTGCAGTTTTATGAGTTTGACTCTAGCGGAGCCAGTGTTTAATAAACGAGTGACTTAAAAAGTTTGCCGAACGTGTTGCGTATTATATCAGAATTGTCAAACGTTACAATTCAAGGCGTGGGAAATATCTCCGAAAACATCCGATTGCTCCCAAACTCGTGCGGTAAAATCGCGGAAATGTCCGAAGTGGCTCAGATCCGTGGCAAACGAAACTGGTGTGGTAAAGTGGCGCTTAGATCGGTGTGTAATTAGGCATTTTCCAGACGGGAGTAGAATAAATAATGTTCTTTTTTCTTTCTGGACGATAATATTATTCTGGTGTGCCTTCTTTTTCTAACAATAGCTCTTGTTGGGGTTGCTGACGAAGGACCACCCTGTTTCCAGTGACGAGATTGACGACAATTCGAGTGGATTGTAATTACTGTTTTATTTTTAAGAAACACTTAGAAACGAAGAAAACTAATAACAAATTCTGTGACGGCTCGCTTTGCTCTTCCCGACTTCTCGCCCTCGCTCCGTCTCGCTTCTTTCTTCCGACCGTCTCTGTCGACGTCTTGCAAAGCTCTCTCGGCTCTCGTCGTGCCGCCCCGCAGTCGCGCTAGTTTCGCACTGCTAGCCTTGTTGCCGAGTCTTTCACAAAGTCCAACAGCTCTTGTTTCTTTTAGACGACCTTTCTCTCTGTTTGCTGCCCGGATTTGTCAATATTAAATCCTAGCATCAGCTCTACATATTAAAATGCCATATAGGGTAAAATAACTATGTACAATGTTTCCATACATTTATATACCTATCTGCCACCGTTTTATAAGTGAGAGAGCTTCACATAGCTTCAATTTTAAGATTTAGACCGTGCAGACCTTTTTATAATGATTTTTTTAAAACTAAGAATAAAGGGGAGGTGTCGACTGAACTGGATGGACAACATATAGAATTGTCTTACCTGAAAATTGCAAGTTGCAAACCAATTAAGTTTCGCTTCGAAAGACACTACTACTAATTGCTTCGAAGTCGGTATGTGGAACTGCGAATTCCACATACCTGATTAATATGTTCGTTTTAATGCGTCGACTTGATACTCGTTAAAGCCCCCCTCCTCCCATCAATTCCAACCAAAACACGGTGTGACAAGCCGTTACGTAACCCATACAAAAACCAGATACGTTCCGAACCAGGAACATCTGCTGTCGTCGTCGTGGTGAAAAGCGAAAAAAAAAGATCGTCATCCCAACGTTTCCAGCGCATTAATGACGTAACCGATAATGAAGAGATTACGGAATGCGTTTCGCAACCGTTGGCAGTTCGTCGACTCCACGTCTGCCGCATTTTACGAACGTCTCATAACTTTTTGTCCCGACGTTGGGTGCCCTAAATTCTTATCCGGTTCATCGCCTCGATTCTCTCGATTGCTGCATGATCCCTCATTAACTCTTTCGTCCTTTTCTTCTTGTGGAAAAAATTTTCAACTTCTAAAATTTGTGTTTGATTTTTTTTAATACACATGCGTAAATTATTTAAATTAAGGTTTATAAAATGAGTGGAATAAAGTGAAGACAACTCCGTCTGCTTATGACCTGCAAAAAACATATTTGATAGACACGGTGTTGTCATGTCATAATATATAATTTCGTGAAAATCTGAACTTTTAGTCCTTATTTATTTTGATTTTTTAAAAAAATATATTGATCAAGCCCAACTGCTTTTATTAACTAATCGTTTTCGTAGCTTAAACTGAATAAAATCTGAAGTAATTTTTTTTTTATATTTGAACCTACGTCGCAATCTGCTTAAGGCTTGGATGCAGGAAAACTGCGAACATTCGCAGTCGCAAATGTGCGCACGTATACGTGCAAACCAATCTGCACCTGCCGTGAGCGCTTCCATTCAAAACAAGTAGCTTAGATCGTTCACGCAAAGACGTTCGTTTATGCCAATTCTACAATTCCCATTTTTACGCTTCCAGTGTGAGAAAAGGTTTAACAGTTTTAGACAAATTTCATCCCAAGGCAAGTCCATAAACTACATCAAAGAAAATGATGACGTGCACAAGGAAAAAAATCAGGAAAATAAAAGCCAAGGTAAGGCTTGTTCAATGAACGGGTTTTAACAGGCGGTAAGCCATCTTCAATTTTAAGTCGATTTCGCATTCTTAATGTTTACAATGCGGATCACGAGTCAGACGTAAAAACTTTATTCTTGGAGCAGTTCCCTGAGAAACACCGAGATATTGTCATGTCTAATACCTTAGATGCGACAGCCGAATTGACAGATCAACTCGGGTACTCGAGTGTTCTTCATATTAATGCGGTTTCTGCTGAGCTTTCAACCTCTAAGGCCAGTGTTTAATAGAATGTGTCAAGGAACTTGCCTTATGTGTAGACGCGTTAGAGTTAAAGCTGCGTCCTCGCGGTGATCTCAGAAAAACCTCGCGCTTGCGTAGTGAATTTGCCGACGAAAAGCCTAAGGTGTGTTACGCGCATCAAAAATATCCGGACAATTGAATATAATGCTGGAGCCGGTGCGCGGAGCACGCGAATCGAAAAGAGAAAAATAAACTAGTAGTTCCTCCCCACTCGGTGAGTAGTGGTGGGTCGGCTCTACATTCGTGACAGGACAACCGCAATAGTTCGTCGCAACGTTTGTGTATTCATATTGCTTGTCGTAAAGCCACGTGCTCTGTTTTGGAGATTAGAATTAAAAATTGGCGATTTTATTACCAGTCCCAACTCTAAAATGACTAAAGTGGCGTTTATTGAACTTTTTGCTGAATATCCTATTAATATAACTAACTACTTTAAAATAATTTTGTACGGCTTTCTATGGCGTATATTGAAAGAAACTTCCCGGGCGGTAGTGCACAGACCGCATGGCGTCTTGAGGCTCGCAGTATAGAACCCACGATTTCAAATCGTTACGCAATCGACTTTTCTACATGCGCGAACGCTTGCTGACCACCATCTCTCGATCAATCGCGCTATTAACATACTCGACCGGAATCTGCCCTCTACATTTTGTTGCGCTGTCGTCGCCGTAATGGATTCATTTGAGAACGTGGCGATTTAAGTCATAGAGATAAATGGCAGGTTCCGAGCGCAGTCTGGTGAAATGTTCCACTACTAAGCCGAACGCTGTATTTATGTTAACGAATATTCCTTTGAAAACCTTTTCAGTTCAAACATTGCCTAGAACGATTTATATTACTATATTACGGTGAAATCGGTCATTCACAATTATTGGACCTAACCAATATCAATAATTATCACTTACGATTGAACTTATTAATATTTCAGTTTCAATGTTATCCAAACGAGAATTGATTCTGCAGAACTACATTTACTCCATTAATACTATTGTTTCCAACTAGTTTATAGTCGGAAAGTCTTAATTTATTGGAGTGAATCTCCGAAATTAACATAGGCCCATGCTGTTTGCCGTTGCGCAGCCGATGACAGCAATGCTCTTGTCAAATGCATATTTTGATGATCATGCAATTAATCGTCTTGTAAACTTTTTCATGATCTATATGTATAAATTTGTGGGATTAGGTTTATCTTACTTAAACCGTTTGTCACCAATTTGGTGAACGTCCACCTATTGTAAGGACGCTTGTTTATCTATAACGACTAATAATAAAAACAAGAATTCGTATACATGCGGTTCTCTTTTTTTATTTTTTGCGTTCTTACTCACCATTCAACTATCGTGCGGGAAACGCACTTTACCACGTGAGTTTCTTGTCCCACGGACCCGAGCCACTTCGGATTTTACCGCAAGGGTTTGGGAGCAATCGGTTGTTTTCGGAGATTTTACTGCACTTGTTTCATAATATAGTATTACTTGCTTGATTTAGTACTATTAATAATTAAACTTATTTTTATGTTCAAAATTTTCTCTAATTTTTTTTCCTGCTGCATTTAAATCAAATCTCAATTTATTCTCTGAACCTCTTTTTTTGACAACCGTACTTTTATATGCTTTTTTTGTTGCAGGGGTTTCAGTGTCAGCGTCTGTGATCGTCATCACATTTTCAAGCCAGTTTCGGTGCAGGCCATGTGGTAAGTGAAGATGTTTTTTGTCTTGTACGATTGAAAAAAAAAACTAATACCATGGTTCGAGTGCTTGAGTGCTATAATTTACTTCGCAAATTTTCAACGACTCTAATTCCGTACGTTGTGGATTGGTATGATTCTAACGTTTGTACGCCATGTGCAAAATAAAACGATTCAGTATTATAATTTTGTTGATACAGGGTGTCCCAAAAGTGTCCCCCCGTCAGCTTTGTTATTTTAAATGGAACACCCTGTATGTTTCGACATCTTTGGAATCCTTGGATAAAATAAAGGACACTTTCTTAAGAAGTTTCTATTCGAATTTGCATACTTTAGGCAAAAATTGAGATTATGTGTTTTTTTTTCATATTTTGATTGCCTCATATAAAATTGGGTTGTGACGCTACCAATCCTGGTATTGAAACGAAAATTTCACCACAGACTAAGGAGACGATGCACTACTCAATCAATTTGACTGATGCGTCTCAGATTATACAGGGTGTCCAAAATAGGTGTTGCCGTTTTGGCGAATTTAATTAACAAAATCTCAAGATTTTCAAATGGAACAATCTCTATTTTTATTCAGATATCAATTCTAGGACAAAAATAAGGTAAGTTTGTAATTTATCTTATATTTAAATTTTACTTACTTTTTGAGATATTCGAGGTTTGAGATAACACACGTATAAATTCTTGTTGAATTTAAAGCTGCCCATATTAGGTCCCTTTTTGGCAATAGTAGGTATTTTTTAAATATCAAAGTCATGATACTACTTCTTTTGAAGATGTAATACTCCAAATATACCAATTAAAGCAATTGTTAACAACGCAGGGTGTCCATTAGTACTTGGAAATTTTGAAAAAAAAATTAAAAATGTATTTGGCTATGACATGACAGTCTTTCTTTTGACGCATTAATAATTATTAACTAATTATCTATTAAATGTTTTATTAAATCTGATTCTGATGTTTTATTAAATCTGTTAAAGTCTTAGTATGGAGTCTATTTTTTTCAAAATTTCCACGTAATTAATGGATACCCTGTATTGTTAGCAATAGGTTTTATTCGTGTATCCGGAGCATTATATCTTTAAAAGAAGTAGGTACTATCATGTCTTTGCTATTTAAAAAATACGCAATATTGCCAACAAGTGACCTAATGGACGGGAGTTATCTTAAACCTCGAATATCTCAAAAAGTACGTAAAATTTAAATATAAGATAAATGACAAACTTGCCTTATTTTCTGTCCTAGAATTGATAATCGAATAAAAATATAGTGTGTCCCGTTGGAAAATCTTAAGATTTTGTTAATTGAATTCGCTAAAACGGCTGTGGTTAAATTTATATGGAAGTTGATGTCGGAGGGACACTTTTGGGACACCCTGTATGAACAAAATTATAATATTTTAAATCGTCAGGAGAGTCCAAGAAACTTTTGTACGAAACTTTTTTGGTATCTGCTATGGGTTTCCAGAACGTATAGTGGATCGTTTTATTTGGCAGACGGTGGGTGTACACACATCTATATGGAAAACGATTTATGTCGTCGTTAGTGTAGCGCAGCCAACAAGGAAACCGATAAATATGGATGGGGAGACGAAAATGAAGAACCATCTGTTCCCAGACTCCCATAATGCATTACCTAATCATTTAAATATTTATACAACTAATTGGTGTTGATGCCAATGTTGTGGGTTACAAGGTAAATAGTTTATATCGGCGTTGACGACGGATTAACAAAGCAAGATGCCATTTATTGGTGACATGACCAGGTAGTAGTCAACCACAAAAATAAAAAATATCGATTAACTGCTCTTAAATATTGGGGGCTTAAGACTTTTAAGATGCTTTGAAAATAGAAACATTAAATAATATTCAGTGTTTTATTTAGGTGTAATAAATTCATATTAGTATTAACAGAAAATACGCAATAATTACCTAAATAAGTATGTGTTCATTCATAATCATTTTGTTTTACCATCAGAATCGTCATTAAGATTAATTACAATAATCTCTGTTATTTTGTATGCAAATATAAGTATTTTATTTTTAATATACTGTGCTGCATTTTGCCATCTTTAAACAGGTATATTCTCAATTATATTTTTAATTAAATTTATTACACTCGGACTCACGGTGATATACAGTGATATTGAGGAAAATGTAAAACATTTTTATATTAAACTATCTGGCTTGGCTTCAGAATAAATATCATTTTGTAACAAATATTCTTGGTCTGTCAAAAGTCAGGACGACAAAGTTTGAGACGCGCTTTATCTCTTTTGGAACCTGCTTGATTGCCACCGATTTGTGTTCAATAGTGTCTTGGATTTCTTTCTGCAAAATTGAAGGTGAGTTATTAGAATGTTACCATAAAAAAGTTTCGGAGTACCTATTCTGTCAATACAATAAATGTTTGTGTTATGCGTCCAAGTTACTTTCAACATTTTCCTACGAATTCAGATCTCTCTCACGGCCGTGATCCCTTTTCCCTTTTCCACTTATGGTAATTATTAGCCATATACAAAAGATTACGTAAATTTTTTTCGTGACTGTTTTTTTTTTTTAATTTCAGTACTGACGCCGTAGTGTTGTCATTTCCTGGTGCGAAATTAAGCCTGTATTGTGGTCGTATACAAAGACCGGGAAATCCTTGAAGAAATTTTTGTTATATAGCGTTATACAATACCTTGCAGCCGTCGGTATTGTTTTAATATAATTCTTTGTTGTATTTTTAGCGGTCAAAGATACGGCGATACCGTGTGGCCGTGTAATTAGGAACATAATGAATAATTACATTATTATTTTTTCCAAACAATTTGAAGTGAAATCGATTTTTGCGTAGCGAATTAGGATTCGTTTAAAGTTGCACGAGATGCTTCAAGGACACGGTAGAATTGTCAAAAAATTGTTTTGTCGTAAGATTATGATGTGAGTATTATTGAAATGGATAATCGGTAGGTGGTGTTTCGGAGAGAATGAAACGTCATTTGATTTTCTAATTACCCTGCATAGAGAGGGCAGACGATTGAGCTCAATTCATTCGGTCCAACTTTTTATATAAATGCTGAAAAACATATTTGAAACTATATTTTATATTATATTAATATAACGTTTTTGGTCGGATGTTTTATTTCTCAATTTTTAGTTTTCCGTCCCATTAAGCAACCACTAACCGATAGAGATGTCACTATTACAGTATCGAGATTTTCCCCACCAGAATTTAAGATAACGTTATTATTAATGTCCATTTTTAATTCTGTCGGATTTTTTTTGCTTTTTGCACTTGAAAAGATGACATCAACATTAAGACTACGTTATAACCAATAGGTGTATACACTCGACATAGGTACAGGAGAAAGAAAAAAGAACCAATAAGACATATTCAAAAAATAAATGTGAAATTTATGTGGAATACCACCATAAAAGGGTCTTATCAAAATCGACTAGCAGAAAAAATCGATAAAACCCCGATAGACGAAAACGGATATGTTTAACAATAATTGGAAGAAACAGAAAGAGAGAACATCATAGAAGCAGCAATCAAATCAAAACAGCAAAAACAAGGAACGATCAAAACACCGTGGTTCTGTAGTTATATTAAACAGCAATGCAAAAATGAAGAGTAAGCCTACTTAAAGTATATGTCATTCAAAAACGGCAGAAGAATATAAGAGAATCCGCAACGGCACTAAAATACTAGTTAGACAAACCGAATTCTAATACTGGGAAATCTCCAAAAATCTGGAACGTGACTTCTATGGACTGTAGAAGCAAATCTAACGATTAATGAGAAACCAGAGCGCTAAAACAAATGAATTCATTAAATACAATACACACACAAGGATACTTGGATACTCCAAAAATTAAAGAACTCGATAGCATTACAAACGAGCTACTTAAGTACGAAGAGGAAGACGAACAACAGGGATTTAGATCAGGAAGATCCTACACAGATGCCGTCTTTGTAATAAGAAAAATAACAGGAAAATCTATCGAATACGACTGACCAACCTTCATGTGCTTTATTGACTTGCAGAAATCCTTCGATCTAATAGAACTGAAAGATATAATGCACCTTCTTTACGATCGACATATTCCATTCAACATCATCAAAACAATTGAACATATATACAGCGAAAATAACATACAAGCAAAAATAAATAGCGAAGGAGACTCTTTTTAACATCGTAATGGATGAAATAATAAAACAAATTCGCAAACTAAGAGGGTACAAAATTGGAAATAGGGAAGAGAGTATAAAACAGCTAAACACTTTAATATGGTTATATCAGCGGCCAAAAAAAAATCGATGATCACTTCCAAGTCACCGATCAGATGCAAAGTTCTGGTTGGGGCAAAATAATACAACAGGAAATTCAAATAATGAGGAACTGAAATATCTGGTTACCTAGACGCTGAGACAGAAGTGTGAAGTGTTTAGGGCTACCAGAACGATACTATTTGGCGAAATAAACACATCCCAACTGAAGCAAAAGCCCGGATATATTATAAAACTGCTATACTCACCTACGCAGTAGAAATCCGACCTGAGACCTCGAAAACAAAAAGAATATTAGAGACCACGGAAATGAAAATACTTCGAAGAATAGCGGAAAAACCACTCATGGATAGGGAAAGAAATGAAGATATTAGCCGAGTGTGCGGGGTATGACTGGGTGTTGAATCGAAATATAAAATAGTATGAACACATTGATCGTATGGCAGAAGAACGAATAATGAAAATATCGAGGGACAAATCGCCAGCAGGTCGAAGGAGCCTTGGAAGACCTAGGAAAAGGTGGAGCGACAACCTCCTCAATGACTGAATGATGGCAAAGATGTGAAGAAAAACAGACAATCATGTCCATATGCAGTAGTGAGAAGATGAAGAAGAAAAGATAGAAATTGTCGTATCTTTCCCCGCATTTTACAAAACAGAGAGTTGTTTCTTGGTCGCAGCTTTGGTCTTCACAAAAGAGCTTTCACAAATTTATCGGCCAT